GGCTATGAACAATCCCATTCCTTGCTATATATATATATATATATATATATATATATATATATATTTCCTTCCAAACATTCTGTCATTTTCTAGATAATCATCTGGCAAATACCATGCCCATCGCCAACATACGATCACTGTTTCTCGGGATGCCGTCTTTCAAAAGGCAGGTAGCGGTTATGGCCAAAAGTACAGCATTGGTCTTAGGAGTGGCCACCAGCCCCGCAGAGGCAGCCTGGTGCCCTCGGGCCGCCCCGTGGATGAGTGCAGCTCTCAGAAGTGGCTGGCCTCGCGGAGAGAGGGGTGCCCCGCCACACTCACTTCCTAGACTACAAGTTCAGCCAAAGCCACATTAAAAGACAGTGGCTTCACGTTGGCAGAACTTTTCAGGAGGCACCCAGTGAGGGTGTGTGGGAGGAGGAGTGGGCAACTGTGTCATAAAATGACGAAGCCGAGCAAACATTTCCTGTCCTCACATTTAAAATCTCCGATGGGGGTGGAAGGCAGCCTCAGAGGCCCGGGGCTTTCCTGAAGAAACTATAAAAGGAAGGAATGATAAAAGGAGCCAGGGTTTTAGCAGGCTACTACCAACCAAACCAAAGAGGGGGAGGGAAGTTTCCCTCTCGGCCCGGACCCTGGCTTGTAAGCTTCAGGCTGGCTTTGCCGCAGGAAGCTTTTCAGAGGGGATGTGAGGTGTGGGTTTGTTTCTGTGGTGGCTCTTTTCTCCTCAGTGAGTGGTTGCAGGTCGTCAGATCTCGTCTTCTCATGTTCCCACTATAGAGAGACTGAAGAAGTTAAATGGGAATCTGTTTGTGCCTCCCACACCTCCTAGTGGTCTCCAAGAAAACGTGGGACCTGCTCAGAAAGGAGCCCTTGTTATCCAAATGCTTGCTGCTTGAAATCAGGACAAGAATCTAGTTGGACAGGGGCCATAACTTAGATATAAAACCATCGACACAGTCGACACATATGTTTCTTTCCTGTGATTTCTGGGACAAGGGAAAATCAAGGCCTTCCCTCTGACACCTGTCAATTTTCAGTTGCCACAAAAATCATCAATAACTGATCTGAAGCAGAACAAATGGAAAACTGTTGGAAACACTCAGATAGCCTGATTGGCCTATTTCCACCAGCTTTCCAAGTTGCTCAAACCATAGCCTTTTCAGGGAGGCTTCCTATAATGGATTCCCTGAATAGAGTCAATGCTTAGGTCCCCCATTTCATGACCACTTAAATCCTGCAATGTCAGACCCCGTGAGGGCAGGGCCTGAAAGACCCATCCTCTAAGAAGAAGTCCTCCTGAGTGTTCTCAGCATCTCCAGTCCTAGGATGGGACTGGCCATGTGAGAGGAGGCCCACAGAGCTCATGTACGTGCACTGTGCAATTTAAAACACAGAGTGTAAGGCGGTCTTTCGAGAGGTTCCACGCATCTTCAGAGTCCCGGGAATTGTATTTGACTCACAACGTTTAGAATTCTTCACCCACACTTACCAGTGTCATCATCTTCTTTGTCCTTGTTCTACCCTCCTCTAGAAATCAAGAGACACACGCAGCTGCCTACAGCAACCACAAAGAGTTCTCCAATAGCAAAGTCCAACGAAAAGGAAAAAAAGAAAAAGTTTCAGAAAGGCTCCAAGGCTTACTGACTCTGGGGTTAAATCAAATAAACCAGGTTCCAATTCAGATTCTGCTAACGATTAAATAATGAAATACACCCTTGATGAATTTCAAGTTCTTTAACATTAGGTAATTCGTTTGACCTTCATAACAAACCTCTGAGCGAGAAGGGGAAACTTCGTCATCCCCAATTTGCAGATGAGCAAGTCAAATCTGAGGTCCACATAACCTGCCAAAGGTCACATTTCTGTAGCGGCCGAGCTGTTGTCAATGCAGCCCTCTTACTCCATGAACGCACCATGTGGCCTGAGTTCCCCATCTCCCCAAGTCATGACCTCTCTTACCTGAACACACATACCTACTCACTCTCCACCCTCTGTGCCCCTTAGCAGCTGGTCTTATCATGTGATAAGCTCATCTCTGTTACTTGTCACTCATCTTAGTGTCCCGCAAGGCCAGAAACTTCACCGAGGCAAGGAGCATGTGAGGCCCATCTTTGATGGCCTGAGGATATGGCACTGCACCCATCTTGCATAAATATTTGTCAAGTTAAACCAAACTGAATCAATCTGATAAAATTGCAAAACAGGGAAATCTTGTGCCTCGCCCTTCATCCTGTAACCCCTTGTTCTCAACCTCGACTTCCTGCCAATCGAAACCTATACTCCCAGATCATTCAAACACATAAACTGTATGACTGATAGGAACTTAAAATGCTTTATATCACTGCAAGTAATCCCTGAATCCTGTGGATGTGGCTCTAATTAATTTCAGGCACAGCCAGCAAGTCTGGAATGACTTGGGAGTGTCAGGGCCTTCCTAGCAGGCCAGAGATCACATTTAGAACTCACTGGAACTTCAGCCTGTACCAAAATCACAGGCATTCACAGTCACCCACCTTTGGTTTTTCCTCATTTATGAGTTGAAAAGTATGAGTCATAAACTGTTGGAAGTATTTTTAACTCACCAATTATTTGGATAGTAAAATGTAATGTTTCAACCCTAACTGAATGCTAAGGACAATCTTAGCAACCAATTAGACAGAGTTGACTTTGAAATCAAAGAACAAGTCCAAGAGAAAAAGAGTAAGCTCTTTAAAAAGATGATGCTGATATCCCGATATGTATAACTCAAAGCACCTGTGAACGTTCCACACAAATAACCAAGTGCCATTGCTACTTCCTCTTTGATGGGGACCATGTGAGAGGTCTAACCCTGAAGGAAACTGCATCCTGAGCACCCCTGGGCCCTGAGCTTGCACTCCACTTACAGATGGACACATGCTAAGGCGTCTGCACTCCGTCCTTGAAGATTCCGGAGACTCGGGTCAGGGGTGAGCCCACCCCCTGGCCTCAGCCTCTGCAGTTCACACTCTGAGTCCCTAAGGTTTGCCCCTGCCATCTCCTCCTTCCTGACCCCTCGAACAGCCTCAGTTCAGGCCACCTAAACCTGCATGAGTCCTCTGATGGACACCGCCCTTCCCTCCCCAGTGGCCCCTAGGCCCTAATGCCACCCCTGCCCCAGCCATGCCAACCACTGGCCGCACCCCGTAACGGCTCTCTGTCCATCTCCAAAACTTGCTCATGCTGAACTTTGCCTCGAATGCCCACCCCAGGAACTCCCACTTGCCCTTTAAGACTCAGCTCACATGACCTGGGAAGTCTTGACTGACCACCAGGTTGAGTAAGAATCCCTTCTTCTGTTTTCTAAAAATCCTGAACATACATCAAGCACAAGAGTAATGCCTGTTAACATCTCTACTTGTGTCCTCAGAGGTCTGGCAAATGTCTGGCACATGGGAGAACTGAGGAAAGAACGTGTTGGCTGACTGACTAATTGAATCAATCTACTGCAATAAGGTGGTCCCATCCATCACCTCGGACCACCAGGAAGAAAAGGCCAAACCTTCTCTGAGATGTTCCTCAGTGCCTAACACAGCGCCTGGTTCAGGTTACCAGTTAGTTAAATAACCCTGAACCATGTAATTCTTCCCCTGACCAATCTTTGTTCATTAAGCCATCATGTATTTTTTTTTTAAGATTGTATTTATTTATTTGAGAGAGAAAGAGACAGAAATAGTGACAGAGAGCATGAATGGAGAGGAGAGGGAGAAGCAGGCTCCCCACTGAGCAGGGGGCCCCAACGCGGGACTCGACCCCAGGACCCTGGGATCATGACCTGAGCTGAAAGCAGACGCCTAACCGACTGAGCCACCCAGGCGCCCCCAGCCATCATGTATTGACCGTCTACTACATACATGCATTCACCAGGCATTGTGGAAGAAATAACCAGCTAAATCGAAGGTCTGGAGGGGTCTGGAGTCAAGAGGAGTAATAGAATTACAGACAGAGGAGAGTCGTCCAGGTCTGAGGGAACAAGCAGCTGCTCTTTGTAGGGGAAATAGGGAAGATTTAGCCAAGGAGATGAGTGTGGAGGCAGATCTTAAATGATGAGTACACTTTTTTTGAGTCTGTTTAGCTGTGTGTGTGTGTGTGTGTGTGTGCCCAAGTGTGTTTTGGATCCACGCTACTACGATCCACAAAGTACGCTAGTATGAATATTTATGCAAATGCTAATTACACACTAATTACACACTATAATCTAAAACTCCCCTTGGTTATTTTCTGCCAACACAATGTCCTCTTGCACGTCTCTCACATTTTTAGCTGTTCTTCAGATGACAGTGGTTTTAACATTCCACAGACCCTGGTTTACCATCCCTGAACGGCTTCCTCTCCCGCGTCCTGTTAATCGCTCATGTTTATTACCATTTTTTCAGCTGCAGTCATTGTGAAAAGTAGCGTGTTTTCCCCCACAGTAATAAATATTCATGTGTTTATGAAGTAACGAAGAAAATGTTGCTGAGCATGAAGAGTCAATGTCAACAGTCAGGAGTGAATGAAACACAACATTAAATCTATTAGCATTCCCACATCTTCCTGGAGGCTTAATTGTTTCAGAAAAGAAGAGGCTGAAGCTCCAGTTTGGAGGTTTTGATAATGACTACAGGATGGGAAGGAAAACAGAAGATACAATTGGCTAGTCCAGGCTCTGCGTGTCATTTCTGTTTCACAACTGCGCATGGGTAAGAAGCCTTTTCACGTTGTTTAATTTCTCCCTTGGAGACTGGGATGGTATGAGGCCAAACCAGAGATAGAGCCTGGGCGGTGATAAGCCGAGCCCCGCTAGGAAATGAGGGGTTGCCTGCAATGGGGACTCCAAATTTGAACTCATATTTGTGACCTCAATACCCCACTTAAATGTACCTACTGGCTCAGGGACAGCTACTGTAATGACACAAATGTAAATTTCATTTTCCACAATTCCCATCTGATGGTGTCTAAGAAGCAATGTAAAGTTACTTTATGAGTGCTTTGAAACAGTACTTGCTTCCGTGGTGCATATACTAACATCGGAACAATTCAGAGATTAGCGTGGTCCCTGAGCAAGGATGGCACGCAAATGTGAGAGCGTTCTATATATATATATTTTTTAAAAAGAGTGCTTTGAAATAGTAACAGATATTTGCTGGACCTGGGTGCATGCAGGTATGCATACAGGACACGAAGCAAATGCCCATGAGACATACGATTCAGACAGAAAAGAGAGAAGAAAGAGGATGGTTGCATGCAGTCCTTGTATCGGGCAGCAGACGAACACTTTGTACTCAGGAGAGAGCTGTAGTCCCAGCTCTGCCACTTACCAGCCGAGAGACCTTAAGAAAGCTGCTTGACCTCTCCAGGCCTGTCTCATCATCCCCTTGATGCAGTGGTTCTTAACTGGGGCAACTTTGAGTGCAGGTGGCAATTTCACACCTCCCCCCCTTCCCGCCCCCAGTCATACCTCATATGTACCCACCTTGCACCCAATGCTGACTTCCATCTTTCCTGAAACCAAGGCTTATATCAGAAAGCAAAGGGCTGGTAGGCACAAATGCATCTGATTTTCAAGCCAAAGCCACTAAATGACCAGGTGACCCAGTGGCATCGGACAATCTAATCCCCCCAAAATGTCTCTCGGCATGTGGTCCAGATTCATCCTGCTACTTCTTGAGGCAAGGTGCTAATTTTTTTTTTTTAATTTTTTTTCTTGCAAGGTGCTAATTTTATCTTAGAAAGTGCAGCAACGTTTCCTAAGCAGTGACAACCTTCTAAGAGGAGAGATCTGACCACCACGGATGGCAAACATTGTTTAATGGCTCCTTTGTTTTGTTTGTTTAACGAGACCAAAAGAGGACAAATTCCTGTCTTCCTCATTGACTTCAGCAAGGGCAGGGTTCTGTTTAAAGACCGGGAAGAACAATGTGGAAATTGTTCACTAACAATGTGAATCATTTTCAGACAATCCCCAGAAAATCTGGGATAAGTTAGGTGGAAGAGAGATAGATGACAGTATGTGGAAAACTTTATTTATGAATGTTAATAAAATTTCTATTGCAAAGGAAATACTAGAGACAAAAGTGAAAAGCCCTACATTGAGAATGAAGCTTATTCCAGCCTGACTCTGAGATGCAAACAAGCCAAAGACCGATTCATTAAGTGCCAAGTTCAAGAGAGGGATGGCAGGCTAGAGCTACAGCTGGAGAAGTTCCCCTCCTCAGGGTTTTGCCAAGAGCCAGCTCACATGCTTTGCAAACCACGATAGATATGTGAGGGTGAACCTGACATCCTTGCTGAGCTTTCCACATGACAGCTTTTTGCAGCATGGAAATAAGTTGGTAGGTTGTGAATGAAACGTAATCTTCCTCATTCACACTTGGGACCTTTGACAAAAATTTTCAAAATGGAAAACAAAAATGGCAGCCAGTCAAAACTCAAGATTCTAATGTTTACAACATCTGGAGATCGCTTTTGAGGACAACGGCTGATAAAACCAGAATGGACAGGTACTGATATGAATATGCACCCCCAATAGACATCCAGGTATGTGTTGGTTACAACCATGGAAAATGACATCTTTTATTTGTTTGAGCTGGGGGAACGTTTTCAAAAAGTGTGGTGAAAACACAGCAGGGCAAAGTTTTTGTGAGGGCCTGATATGCCGACTTCTATTTTCCACAGGTCGGAATGAAATTGTTTTAAAACAGTAATGAAAAGGTATACCACTCCTTAGATCCCTCCAGATCATGGAAAGAGTAAATATTTTACCTGCATATAGCAACTAGGATTTGTGAGGAAGTGAGTATCAGTTAAAGTGTCAAAAAAAAAAAAGGGTCATCAAGGTAAGATGAAGGTTTCGAAATTCTAATACTAAGGAGTATGCTGGACTTTGGGCTCAAGTACAAAGCCAGGCTCTCTAAAAGCTGGCTCATCTTTATTCCGTGATCATATCTTCCAGAACATGTGCCCAAATGCTTTATACTCATTGACAGTCAGTATAACATGGTAGCCAAACAGTGTGACCTTTGCAGTCCAAAGCTCTGGGGTCTTATCCCAGCTCTGAAACTTGTGTGACTTCGGGAAACTTATTTAACCTCTTGGATCCTCAGCTTCCTCACCTGTTAAGTGGGCATAATAATGTTACCTGCCATACAGGGTCATTGTATCAAACGTTAAATGAGTGAAGGCTTGAGAAGCATTTTGAAAGAACAGTGTCTGAAATATTTTAAGCCTTCCATCAATCCTGGCTCTCCTCATCTAATTGCATCCTCACACAGACCGTGTGAAGCAAGTACTATCCATCATTCTCATCTCACAGATGGGAAAGTGAGGATTTGATAGGTAAATTAACTTGCTCAAGAACAGACAGCTCATAAGTAGTGGGGCCAGTCCTTGAAATAACCTGTTCTCGGGCCAAAGCCCAAGCTCCACTATATGATGTATTTGGGAATATGACTGTGAAGAGCAAGAGTTGGTCTTCCCTACTAAAGAAAATAGTTGTTAGGGCAGAAACTAGGAAAATTCCTAGTCCAGAAAGTAACTCCCCATAACCTTCTAGGGGGCATCTGCAACTCCCTCTCCCCAAAGTACTTAGAAAAGGGGGTGCAGGGGTGTGATGACCAAGATGATCACTATCAAAACTCTTCTGCCCTTAATTTAATCAGGGCACTTTCTTACGCTTAGCCCAAAGCGTGAATATTTGAAAGCCTTTCTCCTTCCTCTTTCCCAACAGCCTTCCCAAGAATGTGCACCTCTCAACACCACCAGGTCTGTCATTGGTAGAATTTTGCTGCCTGAGTAAATTTCCGTTGACTTCTAGGTGAAGGCAAAGAGGCCTAGCAAGTTCTTGCAGGATTTTCAAAGGAAGGTTAGTGTTGGTGCCTGAGCTGTATGTGCACCTGTCTTTCTTCTGGGACCCTCCCTCTTCTGCCACCATCCCTGCCAGGCATCTAGGCTCTCTGAATTGTTCTCGGGTCAATGAAAGTGTCCACAGCATCAACAAATTTCACGGCTCCATTTTTCTCACCCAGTTTCCCCTCAGTGAAGGCTCCCATCCTCTTAATACACATTCAAGGACACCTTCTGCATTTTCAGTGACTGTACCATGGAAGCCCATAAAATCAGGACCTTCAAGCTTTCCAATGTTTGCTGTTGCTGTTCTTTCGAGACCTTGAATCCCTTCTTCTTTCCCTATCCTGGCCCCCTACAACTCTTTGTCCCATTAACCTGAAAAACTCCTACCCCTCCTCTAAGGGGAAGACAAATGCCACACTTCATTGCAGTTTTCCTAGCCCACATGAACATCTGTGTCCCCTTGCAAGGCAACATTGTTACCTTCTTTGCATTCTTCAATTTCACATAATCCTATCACATTTAGCACACTGTATCCTAATCTTTCTCTGTTCAGCACCTAATAGTCTTGAGATGTAAAAGCCACTCAACAGGGTTTACTGAGAAAAACCATTAAAAGGTGACTGCCATAGGAGAAGCAGAGTTGGTGTAGTGAGAACAAGTATAATTTTTGATGTCAGAGGGATCTAGTTCAAATTCTGGTTCTGTCACCTCCTAGCTATGCGACCATAAGCAAGACCCCTATAAACCTCTGTTTTTTCATCCATGAAATAGTATTTTTGTAAGAAGTAAATGAGAAAGGAGTATAAACATCTTTGCTACGTGGTACACATTTGAAAAATTTTTGGGTCTCTCTTAAATTTTGCACACATTTTCTTCTCTTTATATTCCTCCTCTCCTCTTCGACCCACACGCTATTTCTTCTTAGAACAGAGGAATTTAGCTGTTAAAAGTTTGGATAAAAGAGAATTATAATGACAGGTTTTAGGAGAATCCCTTCAAGCAGAGTCTAAGAGAGGGAGATAACCCCTTGACTTGAATACCACAAACCTGATATCAAATGTGGCCTTAGTGTGGAGATGGATGTAGGATTTTTAAAAAATATTTTATTGATTTAGTTGAGAGAAAGAGAGAGAGAGAGGGCATGAAACAGGGGAGGGGCAGAGGGAAGAAGGAGAAGCCAACTCCCCACTGATCAGGGAGCCCGAGGAGGGGCTTGATCCCAGGACCCTAAGATTATGACCTGAGCTGAAGGCAGATGCTGAACTGACGGAGCCACCCAGGTGCCCCTGGGTGTAGGAAGGTAAGCCAATGGACTTTAGTATTTCTGGGCCCACTGACAAAGTCATCACCATTATGGAGTAGATATAGCAGGCTATCTTGGTTTGGCTCCATTAAAATGTTAATACATCTAACATGATTTTTCTTTTTTTTTTTTTAAAGATTTTATTTATTTATTTGAGAGAGCGAGAAAGAGAGAGAGGACATGGGAGGGGGGGGGGCCCAAGGAGCAGGGAGCCCGATGTGGGACTCGATCCCGGGACTCCAGGATCATGACCTGAGCCGAAGGCAGTCGCTTAACCAACTGAGCCACCCAGGTGCCCCTAACATGATTTTTCTGATTCCACTCTCACCAGAAAGCTGGGCCTGCCTTCTGGGGAGAATCATGGATCATGCTGATCTGACTCTTTCCAGACCCCTATGGCTGTGATATTTCACCATCAGGAAACAGCATGGCTTCTGATTATGATCTGGCTGTCAGAAGAAAACTTCTGGTCTTATTTCAGTAAGTCGCTCAAGTAAATTAATCAGTTTTCTGGAGTCTACCACAAACTCATATACCTTTTATCTTACATGAGACAATATTGATCGACCTAAACACAAACATGATTTCTGGTGTCCTCAAGGAGAGGTCCAGATCACCCCAGATGTCATTTAGCTTTGTTTTCTCCACTGTTCCTACAGATTCCATTGGTATTCTTTGAGATCCTCAGTTCTTTAACAGTAGGCAGTTCCAATCTCAGTTTTTCCTAGGTTTTCCTCTTCTGTCTCCAAGAAAAAAATCAGAGAGCCAAATGCAAAAGGTATATTTGGTCTTGATGGACTGTTATTTTTGCTGTTGGAGGAGAAACAGGCCTTGTCAGTGATTTTTGGCCACAGTCTTTAGGTCCTAAAGATTCCAGCTTAAACGTTTGTATGGATGAATCTCTCTTACTAATTCATTGATGTGACTTACAGTAAGACCTATGCGAATG